TGAGAGTAGCTGTGAACTTTCAGAGCCTCCTTGCTTTTACAGGCCAACTGTAGCCAAAACACTGATGGACAGGGGAGACTTATTTTTCCTTTGCTCTTGGCTGGAGGCAGGGAAGCTAAGTTTCTTCTTCCTGTTCATAATCTTGATTAGCTCTTCTCCTTTAGGTTAAATGGAATTCAGATGTCTTCTTTGTGATCATGTGTTCTAGGTTTCTGTCTCAAGTGTTTTCTTTTTAAAATTGGAACACATTTCCTGTGAATGCTCTTCATTCTTTATAGCCTTCTGTCTTGTAAATTGCATTTGCAGACGATGGGACTGCACATCATTGTCATTTTACAGTGTCAGATGGGAAACAGTGCATTTCAAAGAGATGGGCTCTTTTTATTTTGTTGAAGAACTACTTTTGGGCTTTTAATCTTTCCTTAACGTTAAATTTTTACAGGAACTATATTTTATCCATAAGTGCTTCATCAGGCCTCATCGCCCTCCTGTCTACTGGCTCCAAGTAGACCAAGCCGGCTTTGCCCCCTGGCTTTGTATCTACGGGTGGCCTGTGGTATATGGAAACGTAGCAGGGTGGTCAGGGTGAGAGACACACAAGATGTTTTTATAGTCTGCAGTTGGAGGTTTTGAAAAACCCAACAAAATGTAATTCAGTATTTGTTTATTGGCTCTTTTTTGACAGATTGTTGAAATTAAATGAATTGAAAGGGAAACTCAGAGTGCCAGAACATTTTTTAAAAGGTAAAAAGTGTCTCGCAATGTGCTTAAATCACAAGAGGAGAAAATAACTGGCTTCCTTGATCTGTCAGAGGTCACAGTAACCTGGACTGAGCTGTTATTATTTATAATAGTAGCAAGAAGTTAATAAGTGGTTCTTTGTGTTCTAACCACAATATTACAACTTTTGTGAACCATAAATATCAGAATGAAGAATCCTTTCCCCCTGGGGATTGAACAGAAGCCTCATGTTTACAAATCTCTGAATTTGTGATTTGAAATAACTCAAAAACAAGGTCTCCAATTTGGGGAGAGAAACTTGTGGAAAAGTGTTCTTTTGTTTTTTTAACAGAAGCGAGGCAGCCAGGGTAATAACCTAAAATTAGTGGCCAGGCATATGAGAGTTGTCCCGTGGGGTTAAAGCACATACTGTTCAGCTGTATAGCCCTGCCTTGGGTGGCCAGGAAGGTCAGTTCAGCCCTTCCATGTTGGTTTGACCTGACCGAGAGACTGGAATCATTGTTTTCCTTGACTAGGGTCTCACACCACTAGAGGAATATTCAATAGAGAACCTCCTTCCTGAATATTGATGTGTAAGAGATTAGAATAATGTTTATGATCTTAGTTCCAGAATTCTAAGAACTCTCCGAGGAATTGCAGTGGTTTTAGTGTTTCTATAGCACTTAGTGCAGCCTTTTTCCATCAGGACTTTCATAAATTTGACCTTTTTTTTTTTTTTTTAAGATTTTATTTGTTTGAGAGAGCACAAGTGGGAGGGGCAGAGGGAGAGAGAATTTCACACAGACTTAGCACTCAGTGCAGGGCCTGACGTGGGACTCGATCCCAGGACCCTGTGATCATGACCTGTGCTGAAGGCAGATGCTTAAGCTGCTGAGCCACCCAGGCGTCCCAAATTTGACCCACAAGTTCCCATTGATTGTGAACAAAATTTCTTCATATTAACCTCTTCAGCCCCTAGAGTTCAGCCAAGAACATTGTCTTGCATTTCTTAATCAATGTGTGCAGAGATAATTATCATTTTTTGGTGCAAAAAGTTGGGGAAGCTTTTTAGCTTGTATTATTTAAAGGGTTATGGAATAGGGGCACCTGGGTGGCTCAGTCATTAAGCATCTGCTTTCAGCTCAGGTCATGATTCCAGGGTCCTGGGATCGACCCTCGCATTGGGCTCCCTGCTCAGTGGGAAGCCTACTTCTCCCTCTCACACTCCCCCTGCTTGTGTTCCCTCTCTCGCTGTGTCTGTCAAATAAATAAATAAAATCTTTAAAAAAAAAAAAAATGGTTATGGAATAACAGTACTTCAAAAGAAATATTCTATTCCTAATTCCTAATCTTAACTTTAATTTTTAGTTTCCACTTCTAAATTTAAGGTGAATGTTGTAAATAATATTTGCTGTTTTGTTTATAACTTTATAGAAAGGTGTTCATCAGGAGTTTATCTTCTATGGGCATGCCCAAGAACTTGGAAACCGGGGCAAGAGCACATTTGCATAGTGGTTTAGTGTCTTTAATTTAGGATTGTATTTACTCATTGTTTCTAGGAGTTTGCAATTTACTTTTCTTTGGTGCATTATTATCCATGGGCCATCATTGGATAATATGGAATAATGAGGAAGTCACAAGAAGAGTCACTGCAAAATATGTAATACGTAAGAGGTTTTTCTTACTGTGTTAACTTTTTTTTGTAGATAACTAGTCAGTAGTTTGGTGGCATGGAGTTTGTGTACCAAATGCATTTACTTATTTGACAAACCATTAGGATCTATTTGTTAGCAGAGCTGGGCCTAGTGTTTTTTGGTTTGTTTTTTGTTTTTAATTGCTGGTAAAAAAACGCCACTAGATGGCAGTGCCTGTGTTGAAAGGGGGTGGGGGGGCAGTTGCCACCATTCTTAACAATATGTGTACCTGAGATGGAGTGGTGAAAAAGGGGCATCAGCTTAATATTCTTCATAGAATGTCCCTTGAATTCATAAACTGAATAATTTGTAGAAAAGCAAATAAGCAAAATTTGATTTTGGTCCTGAATTTTACCTAGAGCACTTTTTGGTTCTGATAATGGTTTCTAACTTTCTATACTGTTGAATTTCTGTGCATACGTTTGTAAGGCATATACTCAGTTTTCATTCAGAATTTACTATACCACTACTTGGGAATTACAGAACTATTCCCCCAGAACTCTCTCCATCATCGAAAATGGCTATGTGGTACATAGAATTATGATGTGCTGCATCTGGTTTAGTTACTAAAAACCTGTTGCAGAATTTATATCTTAAAAAGACCCCATATCCAACACCAGTAAAATAAAAAGGGGATCTTTAAAAGTGATTAAATAACCTCCCTCCTTGTGGTAAGTAGAGGCTTAAATTGTTGGCTCATTTCACATTTTCCTGTTTTTAGTTTCTCCTTTACAGCTTCATAAAAATCTTACATTGAAATTATTCTTAGCCAGTAAAAATCTATTGGTTGTCCTATTTGGTAAATTATTCTAACTTGGAAAGAATAACTTACAACAAGGTTTGAAGTTCACTGAAATGTGGAGGTTGGATTCCTACTCAAAAGTCTTGTGAAAGGTCTTATTAAGTATGATTAAACTTTGTTTTTTAAAATTTATATTTTTCTTAGATATCTTTATGAGAGCCATGTGAATAAGTATGTCATCTTTATTACATTATTTGCCATTATCATTTAAATTTCCCACGCATGTAAATGCGCATTTTTGTAGTTGCTGATCAGATGTCTGCAGCAGTGATGGGCGTAATATGGTTGTGTGACAGAGCAGCGTGTCAGGCCTCTTTGCCAATATATGCCTGCTGTGCTGTCCTGCCCACTGAACTTCTGGGTTTTCGGTATGTGTGCCAGTCACTGCTGTTTCTGGAGACATAAAGGATACAGAGACATAGCACTGATCTACAGATCCATCTGTTTGGGCTCAAGGGGATTAGATCCCACCTCTTTGGACTCCCAGGTAGGGGAATGAATTGAAGATTAGGAGGGTTTTTTGAGTGGTTGGTTTAGATTTTCATGGATGTGGTTAGAGACTCACTTCTCATTGGCTTTCATGAGTTTTCATGACATCTCTTTGACCTTTGCCTCTTAACCGATTCTGAATTTGGATTCTTAACCCAAGCTTTTTTAACTTAAAAATTTACCTACAGAATTCATAAAATTCATCCTTAAAACACTGGTCTGGAACACTGAATACTTGGGTTTTAGGCCTGGTTTCCTCATTTGCCAAGGAGTGGTGGCCCTGGCTGATGTGAAGCTGTGACATCTGATGACAGATGGTATACTATTGTTGATGAGTTCTTCAAGTGGGAAGCCAGGCACACAGCGTCTAGTTTGCATTTCCACTGGCTGAGATTACAGTATGTGGATGACTGCTAACCAGGTTACCCTTTGGAGTGGTATGCTCTCTGCTACAAAATTCTTTCCAGAAAAGAATATGGGAGTACGTGGAAATTTTTCTTAAGGATATAACGGACATTTTTTTTTTTTTTTTAAAGATTTTATTTATTTGAGAGAATGAGATAGAGAGCATGAGAGGGGGGAGGATCAGAGGGCGAAGCAGGCTCCCTGCTGAGGGAGTCCCTGCAGAACTCGATCCCAGGACTCCAGGATCATGACCTGAGCCGAAGGCAGCTTAACCAACTGAGCCACCCAAGCGCCCCATGACATTTCTAATCTAGTATGTTTACCATGGCGGATGGTTTGTCTGTTAAAAAACTAGTTCCCGGGCACCTGGGTGGCTCAGTTGGTTGAGCGACTGCCTTCGGCTCAGGTCATGATCCTGGAGTCCCGGGGTCGAGTCCCGCATCGGGCTCCCTGCTCGGCAGGGAGTCTGCTTCTCCCTCTGACCCTCCCCCCTCTCACGCTCTCTCTATCTCATTCTTTCTCTCAAATAAATAAATAAAATCTAAAAAAAAAAAAAAACTAGTTCCCATGGGTAAGCAATAATGTTTGTCATTTGGTTTTAATTTGCAGGTGTTTTTAAATGAGTTTGAGAAGCTTTAGCCTTAGTGCATGCAGTGTATTTCTAAAACCCAATGAGAGAGATCTTTAGCAGTTAATCATTCATTAATAAGAGAAAAAAGTTTGGATTGTTACTGAAATCTTTTGATATTGTGTTTCTGTTGGGTATCATTCAGTGTTGCTTACTTGCCAACATAATTTTTATTCAGATGATTCTTACTGCCTATTTTATGGAGGCAGATATATATATATATATATTCCCTTATAATGCAAGATCAGATAAAAACCTCTACTTGAGATTAAATGCACAAAATGCTTTTATTACTCTAAGCAAATAAGTTAAATCGCAGTTCCAATTATACAACTTCAGCTCATTTATGCATACAGTAGTTCACTGGTTTAATACACAATGAACAACTGAAGGATGATCCATCATTACTCTGGTACTCCTGGGCAAAAAAACCCAAACTGTTTCCTTATTAGAATACAGGTAGTAGTAACAAAAAAGAAAATTTAATGGTATTTCACACTAACAATTTAAGATTTAGAATTTAATCATGAAATACATATTTGGAAATGGTGGCAGAAAATAGCATTTTAAGCTGATAGTCTATTCTTTAAATCTTAAAGTGATTTCTGTATGGGGTACTTGCTAGCCAGAAAATCGGTATTTTACATGCTCAGGTATCCAAATAGAGAAATAGGACTCCCCCCGCCCCCCACCAGGTTTTCCCTCCTTACAGGTACACACAATATATTGTTAAAGTTTTTTTCAAGTGGAATATTCATGAGGGTAGGTAACCAGTCCGTAGTGGCAAGGTTAGCCCTCAGCTTCTGTGTGCAACAGGGCTAGGTCCCTTTGATCCATGCAGAGAGCTTTCATGCATTTAGTTTAGTGCATATAATGTGGTTATAGAATCAGGAAATATTTTAACATTTGCTTTTTACTAGGCAAGTTAATTCACCCAGCATAAGTTGAACAGTGACAGCATTTTTCACAAAGTCCATGATTCACTTTCATGTTAACTCCTCAAAAACAAGCATCCTATTGTAAAGTCCCAGTGCTAATTAAACAGTAAACAAACATTTGCCTTTATGGGTATTTTACAGGTTTACTTACAAAACTGAGCATGTGTATATTTTTAAAACTCACATATTTAAACTTGCAGAAGCTGTGCCTACAAGCAGTCAGATATATAAAGCAGGTTTTAATAAAATGTAGTCAAAAATGAACACTTCAATTGTAGATACTACATTTTATTCAAGGCCTAAGCTTCCAAAGCAGTGTAATCCTCCTTTTCATAAATTAGGCATAATGTTTCAAGTTAAAGATTGGGTGTTCATCCTTTCACCATCTCTATGTGTGAATGGACATAATGTTAATAGAATCCTAATGGATACCTCAGGTAAATTACAATACAGGGCATTCTTGGGGCCAGGCAACAGTGAATATTTTTAAAAGGTAATGAAAGCAAATACCTTGGAATTTTAGTTTTGTTGAATGACCGGTGAAACAACTCTTGCTAACCTTAATGTGGAACTAGAAACAAACAATGTGAAGTTGTTTCTGCTTATTCTCCCACGACTTCTGAGTTAACGTAGCCTGTTTCCGATGCAATCCACATTGCATCTGTGGATTTTATGCATTTTGGAAAAAATACATCTGTACAGCCTTAAGTTACTAAATGCCTGAAGGTAATCTGTCCTCCCCTCATACACTTCCTGTGGCATAAGCATGAGGTGTACAGAGCAATGCAAGAAGAGGTGACTCCAGTCCAAGATAAGAAAATAGAATGGATTTCCTTGGTTGTGAGTTTTCAGATGTGCTCGTAATTCAGGTGCACAGTGGTAGCGACAGCAGATACCTCAGAATCCGGGAATACTAGAGGTTGAGCAGCAGGCTGCTAAGTGACTCAAAAGACTGGCTAGTGACACCATTCTGTACCAGTAGAGACTGCAGTTTGAACCGTGCACATCCCGTGGCTCATGCACTGCCTTATGATCGGTAGTCCTTTTTGCTGTAGGGCTTGTTTCGCAATATGTTATCAATCTCATTTACCACATGTGATGTCATCTTTGGGAGAACCTGAGGAGCAGAAGTACAGAGGATATGGTTAGTACTTGATGGTCATTTGTTCATTGTGTAATATTAAGCAGAGTCGTCTAGACTTGTATACATTTATAATCCACAACTAGATGTAAGCCCGCCACCCAGACTGTAAGCTCCTTGAGGTCAGGGACCTTGTTTTTTTCACCATTGCATCTCCTGTGATAAGAGTGCTTGGCTCATAGTTGGTGCTTAGAAGTATTGCTGAACTGAATAAAGGCATAATGTATAAATGAAGGCTCATAGAAATACAATGAGTCACAGAATTTCAAATTTTCTAGCGGCCACATAAAAGTGGAAAGAAACGTGAAATTAACATTTTTATTCCATTTATCTAAAACATTTCAACATGTCAGCATAGAAAATTAAAATGCCCTACATATTTTAAGTACTAAGTCTTTCAAATCCAGTACATTTAACACTTACAGTGCATCTCCATTCTGATAAGCTGGTTTCATGCACTAAAAGGCCATTTGTGGCTAGAGGCTAGGGTTGTGGACAGCACAGGTCTAGAGACTTAAGGAGAAATTCTCTGCCCCTGGTGGTCACAACCCTGGTGAAGGGTGGCCAGGGGTTAACAGGCATCCCTCGTAGCTGGACTGGCTTGGAAAACTGAGCAGTCTGAGATGGAGGGAAGAAAGTGTAGAGGGTGGTGATGGTAGGAATTGGGGGAAAGGGAAGTTGGGGTTATCAGCATGGAAGGCCTCGAATGCCACTCTTTGGAGTTGGGACTTGATTCTTGGCAGCGGGGAACCTCTCAGGACTTCTGAGCTGGGAGCAACCCCGTCAGACACCTAGAGGTAGCTTGAAGGAGGAGATGGAAAGGGAACCCAGATGTTAGACATTTCTTGCTGCTGGAGCCAGAGATGATAAAAGCAGTAACTAGTTAGTGGCAGTGGAGTAGAAAAGGAGTGGCTGGGAGAGACACTTTGGAGGCCGAGGAGGATTTCAAGACTGAAGGACTGGAAGGATGGAGATGTTGATCGTTGAGCCTGGGAACCACAGGAGGAGTGTGGAGTACGAGAGGTTTTTGAAGTAGGAGGTGTTGAGATGAAGGTGCCTGGGGGATATCCGCGTCGGCACGGCTTGTAGGGAGCCGGGTGGAGCTGTGGATTGGTGCCGGCAGGAGGGCTGGAGTGGAGGGCTTATGAGTTGCTTGCCACGGACACGCCTACCCACTGAAGCCTTGGGAGAGGACGAGCTCACCCAAGGCTAGAATTTATCCTGAGAAGGGACCACATTACACCATAAGGCAAAGGACAAAGGCAGACTTCTTCCTAGGAATAGACTGACCCTGTGTGGAGACTGGCAAAAGAACGATGGCGGCCAGTTTTGAGGTTTCGGCCTTGCCCTTCCTCTGCTGCTGTCATGTTGGCCGGGGTCTCCACTCCACCTAGTCTCCACTCAAGTGCTAGTCTCAAAAGCCTGAGGGTTTGGCAGAATAGTAGAGCTATTCCGCCTGAGAAACTAGTTCTGGGTAACGGTTTCCTATCCGGAGCTAAAGCAGGAGAGTTTAATTTCCCACCAGCTTAGGAGTCTCAGAGAATTGAAATGAATATGTTCTTTTAAATGAGACTGCAACAAAGAGAACCAAATCTAGAAAGTAGATTTGTGGGAAGTTTTGTCTAAAATACAGTGGGTTAGCCGTGTGAGGAGAAAAAAATTCTTCATTCATTACGCCAAAGTAAATTTCAGATAGATTTAAACATTAAAAAAAGAAACCATAAAACGACTTGAATAAAACATGAAAAATGTATATATAGTGTTGTAAGACTTAAATTTTTAAGAAGCCATACATCCAGAATTTTACGTGAAGTCGCCCAATTTTTTAATGCTGGCAACTGTTGTAAAACATTTTCATCCACTACGGATTACACAGACATCCCACAGGCTACCAGTTTGGCAACCTTGCTGTTCTACTGACTGGAATAACTGGTGGGCTGAGGACACCAGGGAAGGAGTGGTGAGGGGAGATGAGCCCTGGATGTGAGAAGGGCCTGACCACTGAGAAGGCTGGATTTCTCTGAGCAGGTGATGGGGAGCCTCAGGGTGGGGAGAGAATTGCTTGTCTACTTTTTAGGTTTTTTAGGGTGGGGGCATGTGCAGGTGATGGCAGGCTTCCTGCAGCTGTGGGGTCTCCTCTCCAGTTTTGCCCACTTAACTGAGGCTCTGACTTCTGTGTCCCTCCAATTTATGCATGTCTTAGGCACGTTCCATCCCTTGGAGCAGCTGACTCTGAAATTTCCTTTTTTTGACAACTGTTGGCACTGCACACTTTATCCTGCATCCAGTCCCACCACTGCTGGGTGCCCCTGGCTGCCCAGCCACAACTTGCCTAGGGTGGAATTTTCGGTGCTGGGCTGGCCGGAGGTAGGAGTGGAAAGGGGGAGGGGATGATAAAGCCTCCAAGGTAGCAGCCTCCCAGCTTGGGTAATGGTCCCTTTTCCCTTGACCGTTGGAGCATCTCTTCCCCCCCATCCTGCTATCAGCCTGAGCCTTGCTAGGGGGCAAATGCTTTGGGAAGATGATGGACTCAGAGTTTTCCTCTGAAATACATATTTTTTAATTTTTTAAAAAATGTTATTTAATTATTTTAAATCTTTTGCTACCTGGAATACTCCCCCAGCCATGGAGTTTTTGTTTGTTTGTTTTTTTAACCATTCCCAGGTAGTAGTAACTCCTCCTGGGATGGCAGTGGTCACTCTGTTAGCATGATAGGAATCCCAGTTTCTCCCTCTTGGCTAAGCCACCAGCAAGTCATGGTGTCTGTGTGCAAAGCCTGTGGAATCCATCCACTTCACCTCCACGGCCACCATCCTCGCTAGCCCCAGCCACCATCTCCTGTCACCTGGACAACTGCCTTTGCCTTTCTTCATTCCACTTTCTACACAGCAGCCAGCACCATCTTTAAAAGTTCAAATAACAGCATGTCCCTCTTAAAATGCTCCCAAGGATTTGTGGCATGTACAACAAGACTAACCTGTTCAGCGTCCTGTGAAATCTGTCTCCTGCCTGCGTCCACTTCAGTGCACGCACTGCCCCTTGTGTTCACGACACGTTGGCCACATTAGCCTTAGGCTGGCGGTTTCTGGAAAAAGCCAAGTTCCTTCCCCTCTCCAGGCCTCTGCACTGTTCCCCACTGTGTCTGGAATGCTCATGCTTGGGTGTTGCACATTTCTCCTCTTCCCTGAGCTTTAGAATATGCATATCCCAGAGAGGCCTGGGGCAAAAACATCACCTAAAGTAGGCCCACCCCCTCCTCAATTAGTCTCTATCACAGAACCCTCTTCAGTTACTTAATAGTCCTCACATTTTGAAATTATTTCATGTTTATTACGTGCCTCTCCCCCTGGAATGTAAACTCTTTGAAGCTCGGACAGTATCATTCTTGTTTCCGATGGTGTCTCCAGTGCCTGGTACGTAGTAGGTGCTCAAAGGATGTGAATGAACTAAGGGACAGATTTCTGAATTCACTCTCAGCCAGCCTGTGAGCTCGTGAGGGCAGAGGCCTGTTTTTTTCCTCAGTACTCTGCCTAGCGTGGTGCCAAACGTCTAATACATAAGAACTATGAATGGAATTGAAATCATTGGATTTTCCATTGTGTACAGACTGTACCTCTATTTCCTCCATTGTCATCCCTCCTTGTCTTTTCCCGGAGCATAAGTGAAAATAAGGTAGGGGTGGTTTTCATAAGAGGGAGCATTCCCCACGCAGGGATGGAAGCCCACAGAATCCAGGAGGAGTTGGGGGCCTGCAAGGGGTTCTTTGTGGCAGGGGCAGAGGTGATTACCCTGCTGCAGAGCCCTAAGAAAGTGATGGGGGGAGGGAGGTTGGCACCATTTCTCTCCCAGCATATCCTGGGCTATTTGCCAAAAGGGTTTTAAACATTTCAAAAAGTTTAATGATGTTTGTTGCCACGTCCGTGGGTTTCCTTTTGGGAGGGTTCACAAGGCTTGCTTCAGGGACAGGTGGGCGGGGGAGACCGTTCTGTTCCCCTGGGAGCAGTAGGAAACTACACATCCATGCCGGTTTTGGTAGGTGGTGGCTGTGGCACGAGTAGTGGGCAGGCTCCTCCTCAGGACCCTCGGGCTGTGAGTGGCACAGGCTCAGGACTGAGGTGTGGCCTTCGGGGGTAGGGGATGGTCACAGTAGCCACCAGCCCCACCGTCTCCACAGATGGAATTCCCAGGAACATCGCAATCCCGCTTCCCCTCTCACTGCCCTTATGGGCTCCCCAGAGCACAGCTGCAGGCTCCTACCAGTTCCTGTCCGTGCGGAGGAAAGAGTGGGTGGTTAGTCCTGAATTGGCTGCTAGGGAAGATGTGATCCTGGAAGTCCAAAATAGAATTTTGAGCCTAGTTCCTCTTTCAAATGCGGGAAACATTCATTCCACAGGTATTTGATGGCTGACTAAGGGATATGTAGTTTGCTGGGAACTGGAAAAGCAGTGGCGATGTGAGAAAGACACAGGTCTCTGACCTCAGGGAGCTTCCTGTCCGGCAGGGAAGACGGGTAATTCTATCACACGATCGTAAATGCTGTGATGGAGGGGGAGGAACACAGGATGCTGTGGGAGCAGAAGGGGGCTGTTGGCACGATGTAGCTTGGCAAATATTTGGGGAAAGAACTAATGAATAAATGATGTACATACATTGTCCTGTGGCTATTACATTTCAAGCAGGTTTTTATGGTAAGTCCTGGGAACCCCGTCGCCCAGTGTCCCATTGCTTGGGTCTTGGAATGCACTATCCCACAACCCATCCTGAAGAATGAGCTTTGAGAACATCGCCTCTTCATAAGAGGACACCCTTGGATCCATGTACACTAAAGGTTCTATTGCTTCTTGTGCCTTTGCCCCCTGCACCCCCATCCTCTCCACCCCCCATCTAGGAACAGGTAGTCTTTGGGAAGCCATGACACAATGAAGGACAGAGGTGGAGAGAGATGGGACACTGCCTGGGGACATCTTCTGAGGACCATGATACCCCTGGAGTTTGGTGGGAAGGGCCGTAGTACTTGCCTGAATGGCACCGAGGTTTTCAATGAGTTGTTCAGGAGTGGAGGACCCCAGGAGCACGGAACTCACACCTTCATTTCTCAGGCACCATGCTGGGAAGAAAGAACACATGGTCAGGATGTCAAAACACTTCTGCTTATTGATTAGCTTCTAAACACCACCTGTAACCCCCACTGTTGCAACTGAAACTTAGTAACTTTGGGGGGGGGTGATAGACAATGCTCTCTAGGATTAAAGACCTCAGCAGCAACCCCTATCCTGCAGAGGGTTTAGTAGAATCTGTGCGTTTGAGTTGAGGGCTTGGGGCTCACACACTTTTTGCATGAGGACTTGCCTCAACAGCTGGGGTATCCAGTTGAGCTGTCCACCCCAGGACCACGTTCTTGCTCCTGAAAACACCTGACCCTGCTCCCCGGCAGACGTCTGCATTCCTGTTTCCATCTTGGCCCACAGTCTGTCTTTCTCCATCTTATTCATGCTCTTGTTCCTCATCTGTTTTAGAGTCCTGTAGACCCTGGGTATCTTGTTCTTTGATTCTACCCAACTGTCAAACTCAGGATTTCCCTTTATTCCTAGTCCAAGATTCAACATGCCAGCCTTCAACCCTTTACTTCTCTCCTTCTGCCTCTCTAGCAACCTCCACCCTTAAACCCTCTATCCAGCCCCGTCCCTTCGCTCTTGGCAGATGACCTGGCTTCCTACTGTATGTAGAAAATTAAGTCTATCAGGTGGTATATTCCTCAATAACCCACAAGCGCACATCCACACCTTCCAGTTTCAGAAGATGATGTGTCTGGTTTCTGTTCAAGGGCGAAGTCAGCCCTGGATTGAATTCCTGTTGCCTTTTCTTGGACTTGATTGATCATTGTTTCTCACTTTCTCTCCTGAATTTTAAATTTCTTACCACTTCCTTTATCAAATTTGTCCCATTCTAAAATTAGCCTACCTAACTTGTAAACTTCTAAAAGGCTAGTTTAGACTCCCTGAGAGGACTCCTTTGCCCTCTAGTCCCCTTCTTACCGTGTCAGAAGCCAAGTTCCTTAGGAACCTCCTTGTGATTACAGTAGATGTCTGCAACTAGAGGTGTCTGTAGACACCTAGATGCAGTGTCTGCTGGACACCCTGCTAGGTGTCCCACGGGCACTGCACACGGCTTACTACTTACTACTAAGCCTGTCTTTCTTGTGTTCCCAGTCTCATTTTGGGGCCATCACCCAGCAACTTGGCCTTCTAATCCCCAAACCGGGGTGTTATCCTTAGGAACTGTCCTTTTTCTGAGCCTGCATTCCCTTTTAATTACCACATTTAGTTGATTATTCCTCCTAAATATTTCTGTGATCCAGCATGCATCAGAATCACCTGGAGGGCTCGAAAAACGACAGGGTGCCACCCCTGAGTTTCTCACTGAGAAGGGCTAGAGTGGGGCCCGGGGATCTGCATGTCAAACAAGCTTCCAGGTGCTGCTGATGCTGCTGGTCCAGGGACGATGCTTTTTCTGAAAACAATTTTGTTGGGGTAAAATTCCCCCATTTAATCATTCAATGATTTTTCATACGTTTATCAAATGTGCAACCATCACCACTTACAGTTAATCCCATTTCTACCCCCAGTCCCAGGAAACCACTCATCTACTTTGTACCCCTATAAATTTTATTACTTCTGGACATTGAATTTAAATGGAATCCTATAACCTGGATCCTGTCTGACTTCTTTCACTCAGCATGATGTTGGTAAGGTTCACCCATGTTAATAGCATTTATTAGTAAATATTTCTGTTATTGCTGAATAGCATTCTATCATGTGGATGTGGCCCACACTTGGAGAATCACTGCCCTGGTTCCACTGCCCACTGTCCTCGTTCAGGACCTCACTGTCTCTCTCCTGCACAGCTGGTTTTCCCACCTCTTGACTGGATTTCCCCCTCCTTTTCCCCCATAATCTGTCACAGGAGTGACAAGAACAGCACATTTCCCAGGTACAAATCCGATCATGTCATGCCTGGTTAAAAGTTCTTCAACATGTATCTCACATAATCATTGTCTTATAAGATGAAACTCTCATTTCTCATCCTGGTAAACTTACTAGAAAGCCTGCCTCTCCAGCTTCGTGTCTTCTCACTCCCTGCCTTGAACTTTGGGCTTCAGCAGCACTGAACTGTTGGTAAATCCTTTCCATCCCCAAACATCATGCTGTTTTTCTCCTCAAGTCCTCTGTTCAAGTGTACCCTTGGCCTGGAATGTCCCTCTGCCTCAGTAATCCCTCCTCGGTCATTTGAGACTCCTCATGGGTACTGTCTTCTCCCACAGCCCTTCCCTGAATCCCAGGCTGGGTTGGGAGCCCCTACACTTTACTTAACTTCCATAATCCTCTGTGTCCTTGTCAGTTATTTTATTACAACACTGTATTAAAGTTATCTATTTTATTTTCTTGACTTGCCCACCAGGCTGTGAGATAGGTGTTGTTTGCACTTGGATGCTCAGCACCCAGCCTAGTACCTGCACATAGTAGGTGCTTATTACATGTTTGTTGAATAAACACAGGTGTGAATGATTGATGGGTGTCCCCAAGTATTCCTTCTGCCCCGTTTGCTCAGGCCCTGCAACAGATCCTCTTAAGCTGTTACCAGGCTCTGGCCTTTTGAGGCAATCACTAAATCTTTCCACATGGGCAAAATAATACTCTATATAGGCAAAACGGCAAGGGATCCAGGACCTTTTTTTTCCCCCCTGGCTGCATTGTTTCCTGCTTTGCACTTAGAGAACTCTTTTGGCTCTGGTGTTAAGTATTGAGGTCAAAGCCGGGCACTGGGAAAATTCTTGCCCATAAACTACCCGATGTCAGCAATAGCGAATTTTCTCCATGGGCTGTAGGGCATAGGAGAACCAACTGGGCAGAACTGGCCAGCGTGATAACACATGCAGATGATTCTAGCTTCTAAGCAAGTGTCAGCAACAGCCCTGTCCAGAAAGCCTAGGAGCAGTGTGAAGGCTGGCTCCAGTGCAGGTGTGTGACATGGGAGGCAGCCCACACTTGAGTTCAAGCGGTTTGTTTCCTGCCAAAGGATCCTCCCTCCCCCTACTCCCTTCTAGCTGATCAAAGGTAATATGCCTGGAAATAATTTCCCTCTTGGTTTGAGAGTTCTGCGCTTAAAAGTGAAACTACTCGTTTATAAAGAAGGAAAAAAAAATGACAGGCAAGCAAGACATCTGGGGGCACAGAGGAAGGAAAGGGAGAATCAAAGCATGTTTTAACTTAGACTCAGACTGTAACTCTGAGTCTTTCATGCATATCTAACATCCAGTGAAAGTTTAAATCTGGTCAAGATTTCCTCTTGAGAAGGACACTTCTTCTCTTTCAGAGCTAAATTCAAAACTCACTGTCCTGTTACCACCTAAAACTGTATTTTGAACCAACCGTATTTCAAGAAGAGATGTTTCCCTGCTTGTCACGCTGACCACACACCATGGCTAGGAATGGACGGAGTTGTAGTTCCGAGGTGTCTCATTCTTTGCAAACAGAGCTTACTGAGCTTACTGAGCACCTACTCTTTGCTTTATATATATAATTTCCCTTTACTCAACAAATTTGTAAGATCTGTGTTACACGCATTTTATAGATGAGAAAATTGATAGGTTAAATAACTTGCTTATGGTCAAATGGCCAATACTTTTTACAACAAGCTACAGGGATGCTAATAGTCACATTATTCTTTGACTTTTTTTTTTTTTTTTGGAAGGACTAAAACAAGTCCTGTATGTATGTACCTGGGTAAATGATATTCCCCACCCTCTCCCCAACTACCTCCCGTTTCTGTCTCCAGCTGCAGCCATTCCCTGCCTTCCAACCACAGAAGGATCTTGCATCTAACAATTACTGTGTCACGTTGTTTTGTTTTCATAGAACTTGAGTTTTTTATGTCCTTATTTCACTGTATTGGAATAGCCCCAGTTCCTGCTGTTTCTTAACCCTTGGGAATTTTTTCTAGAATCTACAACCATTTTACTCTTTTCTCATAGCTACCCTGTGGATTTTTTTTTTTTTTTGTAACTTTCAGTTTCTTCATTTGTGAGGTGGAGATAATGATTGCAAATACTCCCTTAACATCTGTAAGGTAGGGCAGGTGACAGCATACGGCTCAAGGGATTGTTCTGATGCTTAAGGAGATGAGACCGTGAGCATGAAGCGCTGCTGTGGAGCAAGGGAGCTGAAAGTCTACAGGCTTTTCTGTTCGGTACCTAGCCTCTAAGCTACCTGTGACTATTGGAGATGTGAATTGAAATGTACTGTAGGTATAAAATACATTCTGGATTTTGAAGACTTAGTATGAAAAAAAGAATATAAAATATCTCAATAACTTTTTATAGTCATTGTGTGTTAAAATGATAATGTTTGGGCCATTACTGGGTTAAATAAAATCTGTCATTAAAATGAAGTTCACCTATTTCCTTTTTTTGAGTATGGCCACTAGAAAATTTAAATATGTGGTTCACATTCTGTTTCTATTGGACAGCACTGGTACATGTGGTTTTCAGCCATACGAGTGACCATGATGGTTCCTCAACTCCACAGTTAGAGCACTTTTCATGGCCCCTCAGGAAGTTGCAGAGTGAAGCTGCTCCTCTAGGATAGGCTTCCATGGGGTAGTAGCCTTGGGCCCCTGGCACCCCCAGCCCTGCATCTGGCCTGTCACCAGCCCCACCTTAGCTTCCACAGGGAGGGAAAACCAAGCCAGAAGAAATGGATGTCACTACACAATTGAGGGCCACTCATGTCAGACACCATGAGGATGTATGTGTTTTCACTTAGTCTCATTTAAACGGCGTTCTAAGGGATAGAAGAAGGAAATGTTTTAACATGTAGAAAATTGTAGGGAACTTTGAAAACTTTGTTTTAGATAATATTAACCAGGAGCTTATGCTTCAGAGATCAGTCTGCCCCTTACACTAGATACTTTATCATGATAGGGATGTGAAAACTATTTTCTGTGATCTAGCAAAGCCTCCC